TTAGACTATAAATTCCATGAGGGCAGAGATTTGGTCATTGTTATATCCACAACACAAAGCATCTACCAAATAGAAGTTGCTCCTTTAATACTTGTGGAATAATGAATGAATAAAAGATTGTTTTTCAATGTAGAGAAGAAACTAGTGGTTATCAGTGGGGAGAGGGGAGGGTCAAGATGGAGGTGAAAGATTAAGAGGTATAAACTATCAGGTATAAAATAAGCTACAAGGACGTATTATACAACATAGAGAATATAGCCAATATTTTGTAATAGCTATAATGGAGTATAACCTTTAAAAATTGTGAATCACTATATTGTATACTTGTAACATATGACATTGTACATCAACTATACTTCAATTTTAAAATAAATACATAATAAATCTTTAAAACTCATTAAAAAAAAATTCTTCTTCCAAAAAAGTCCCCTCTGAACTACCAATCTATTTTGTCCTTTTCACAAAACTGTTCCAGAGACTCACCCGTCTCTTGATCAATTGTGACTGCTTCCAGGTTGGCCTGTCCTTACCTTATTAGTTTGTAAAATTCTTGCATGAAATGCAGCTGGCCAGGCATGAAGCAATAGGTAAGCATAGGAGCGAATGGCATAGGCTGGGGAATATTCCCAAGTCTGAAATCCCTTCCCATAGATGAGGTAGTGTGTCTGAAAGTACAAAACGGATGGATTCAGGGTTATATTGGCCAAAAATCCTTGTTAAGAGGATGCAGGTGAAGTTTCTAAGCAAAAATATTAGTGAGACAAAGGTACACAAAAATGCTGAAATTCACAACAAGATTTGCAACTATTGGATAAGAATCAAAATGATGCAATACTGAAAACATTAAGACATTATAAAACCTACAAGATTACTGTTTGGTCAACACTGAAAGCTTGAATTTTACCCTCCATTTTTTTTTTCATACTCATTAGCCAAAACACTAAATCTTAGATTTTCCTTAAACTACCTACATTAAGCATTATTTATTTTTTTATGCTCAGAAAAAAATTAGAAAATTTCACCTCTGAATTTTCTGTAATAGGAAGTTCAACAGACTTATAAATTTCTAAGTCAAGAAATATCAGTATGCAGGGAGGGTATAGCTCAGTGGTAGAGTGCATGCTTAGCACGCACAAGGTCCTGGGTTCAATCCCCAGTATCTCTATTAATAAATAAATAAATATAAATAAATCTAATTGCCTCCCCCCCCAATATTTTGCAGTACAAGCACAGTACTTAGTAACATTGTTTATCTCAATAAACATCAGAACAAAAAAAAACTTTAAAAGTTTAAATAAAGTGGTTGCGCTGGGGCCAGGGATTTGGACATGAGAAATGGAACAGGGAGCTACTGCTCTTCCTTTACACTTAATATTTTAAAACTACCTCAATGTATTATTTCTATTTTTAAAAATTTTGAAGAAAATTACAAATTACACCTTTTCGTAAAACAGCCAGATTCCTATACCCTTCAATAGTAGGTAAATCATCAGCTTAGAATGTGAAAGTGAAAATAGTTATTTTACTAGTAGTCACACTTGTATATTAATTGTATCTTGATTAATAACAAAGTCCCAAGCAGTGAAATCAAGAACAAAACAAGAGAAAAAGAAAACTAAAGAAATAACCCACTGGTTCCCAGTAGTTGAATGTTTCATCACAGTCAGAGATGTTGCTCAGGAGAGCAGCACATAACCTCGCTGAGAGCAGACACTTGAAAGCAGTAGAACCTTCAGGTGCCCAGACTTGTCCTGCTTTGTTCCCAGATAACCTGCTCAGAAGAAGAAAAAAAGTGTCAGGAAGGACTTGCTAACTAGGACTAAAACTAGACAGAAATGACAACAATGGCAAGAGACATCAAAGTACTTGAATTAGTCACCTCAAAGAGTGAACTGTTAGTTGTTGCGAGTATTATACATAAGGAACGAATTAAGACCTTCAAAACCTTAATCACGCCTTCCTACTTTTAAGGTGTAAGCTAACTCATGCACTTTAGTTCTTTGCATCCCTGACACTCCGCTTATCCCGAGTCAACCACTCGCTCATTTGAAAGCGACAAAGCTCTCGTTTGCCTTTTCTTTCCTCTCTTAACAAGGTCGTTACTTTCCATGGCTTTATTCATTTCGCCATCTGTTCAAATACACAGGGGCCTGACATGTGCGAGGTACATCTCCTCTTCCAATTCCGTTTGTTGACAGCTCCCTAATGCAGTTCTAACCTGCAGCCCCCGGGAGAGAGCTGGCGGCTAGTGCGGGAGGTTCGGGGGCCCACACTGAAGGGGTAATGGGTCGGGACTTTGGTGGGGGATGAAGGAAGCTGTGAGACAGCCGGAGAGGCACACTCTTTGCTCTTGCCAACGTCTCCCACGGCGGCTCTGCCAACTCCAAAGCCACGACGCCAGCTCACCCTAGGCCTGGGCCGGAAGCCTCACAGACCCGCACTCCAGGCTTGCTTCACCAGCGACACGGGACCCGAGCCGGGGGAATCGAATCTAAGGCGGGCAAAGACCGAACGCCCACCCGCCCAGGAAGAGCAGAGCGACCAGGGTGAAGAGAC